AAACTCTTTGCGACAGTTATCCCAATCAGTTGTTCTCAGCGATGGTTCAGTTGACTGCAGACAAGTTCGGTATTATTATCGACAGATACGACGGTTTGCGGGCAATGGCACAGACCGTCAATCATGACATTACCGATGCGTTTAGTGATTACGAGCCGTTAGGGTGGGCTAACTGTGCTAATGTGGTCGCTTCCGACTACTTTCTTGGCAATAATCTAATTGACATATCTATCAAAACAAATCTGTTTCGATCCAAACAATCCATTCATTCGCAAAGATATAAATAAAAATTATATCTTAATTCATATATCAATATACGATTGAATTGTAAGCATATTTATTTATAAATGAGATAAAATCAAGTATGTTATCAGTGAAAATTATATTATATAATCTATATCACAGTAGACAAACACAAGGAATATTACATTTGATGAGAAGTTTTTGAGATCTCATTAGCAATGATTGATAATTGTTTGAAAATAAATATTCAATCGCACAGTATTGTAAAAACTACATTCATGTATAATATATGAAATAATGATTTGAGTGGTAATCACATATTGGTTGCAGATTTCAAGAGACCAATTCCCTGATGTTTTAAAGCCTTTTAGATAAGTAAACATTAAACAAATAAAAATAAAATTAATTCAAAAAGTTTGCAATCTGGAGATCAAAACAAATACCTCTTTGACGTTATCAGGCATTAGACTCATCTTATAGTTAAGCAATTCATTGGTCAATAATTTGGCCAATTCTTTGGCCAGAGAGGCTTCACTGTCCGAACAGATTTGGTAACTCTCCTAATGGGTCATCAAATGGTCATCAAATGGTCATCAAATGGTAATTCATACAAATATACTGTAAATAAAATACACAAATCGTATGAATAAATACCATATCAGTGAGCGATTTAAGTGTAATTTGTTTGCGATTGTCAATCATTTTGACCAAAGCTGCCATTCCTATGGGCACCCGTTGCACAACAGTACGGCTCATGGGCTCACTGTTAGGTACACTTTGCGAGGCAGTCTGTTCACTGACACCTCGCGCACTGTTTTCCATGGATTTCTTTGCCATATTCTGCTGATGAAGAACTGTTCCGATGTGTGAATTGATGTGATTGAATGAACTGAGATAAAAGTCACAGTATTGGCAGTAGAGGTTGGATGAGGACAACTCCTCCACTGTATTCCTTAGCTCTTCCATCTGTTTCACTGGATTTGCTTCCGACTCGACTCTGGGCTCATCCAACACTTCAATCACAGGTCGCTCGGGTGGTAGTCTTCGGCCGAATGATGGGTTCAATGCATCACTCGCTTTGAACTCATCCGAGGAGTCATTGCTTCCAAACAGAGCACCACTTCTACGTTGACTCATATTATCATCAATTCTTCGCGGCCTCTCGAACAGAGGCTTTTGGTCGGCAGGTCTCTGATCGGGTCTGTGAGGGCCTCCACGACCCGAACCGGACATCTCGTGCTTCCTCTTCTGCGGTGTCGATGGTTTGCCGCTCACAGCCCTCTCAGCTCTAGCGATGAAGTCGTCGATGTCGTCGACAACAGGTTGAGAGAGCATAGGATCTCGTGGTGCGGATCTCTCGCCAAACACATCGCGTTCGCGTTGGTCGGCGTCGAAGTGTCGGTTGTGATCCATTCCTCGGCCTCTTCGGCCGCGACCTCTAAAGTCTTCATCAGTTGCTGCGGAAGTAATGAGGTGTGAGTTATCAGCGGTTTTACGGGAATTAAAGCGTAAGTCTGTGTCTGAATTGGGCCTCAAATCTGTATCAATGGATGCGTTACCAGGATATCTGTCACCCATTAAATGGATATTCATTTTCCTGTCGTCTTCATTCCTCTGGATCTTAGTCTGAATGCC